TTCTGTTGAAACACTTGCATTCATTTTGGAATATCTCCCTTCTGACATTGTTGGTATTAAGAGTTAGTGCCATACTTTCCCTACTACCCATATTCCATATAACATGGTTTCTCTTTCTTTTTTTGTTCTTTTCAGTGCTGGGGATTGAACCCACAGCCTTGTACATGTTGGGCAAGTATCTGCCAGCAAGCTACATACCTAGCCCTCAAAACATATATTTTGTTACTGGGAGTGTTATTTAATTAGTTATTTTATAGTAGGTACACACACACATACACATCTAACAGTAAATGAGATGATAGAATTCTTTTTTGGGGGTTGGGGGTGCCGGGGATCAAACTCGGGACCTTGTGCTTGTGAGGCAGGAGGCGGAACCACTGAGCTAAATCCCTGGCCCAAGATGATAGAATTCTTATTGTTTGAGGGAATAATTTTAAGTTAAATCCTTGTGAGAGAACTATCCTGCCACATACTCAAAACATTTTCAAAAACATTAATTTATATTTTCAAAAATTTTCAAAAACATGAATTTAGTTCTAGGCCCTGATTTCTCCTGGTGTTTAATGATTGGATATGTCTCAGGAATCCAGAAAGTTTCTATGACCTGGAAGAATGGGGTTCTCTCTCTTCATGGAACCTATTGTTTAGAAAAAGAAGCTAAAAGCTCATTGGTGTCTGCAGCCTGTCTCTAGGAAGCTAAGGCCGAGTGTTGGCTCTGTTGCTGCTGGGTGGTGGCAGCCCCATTACTTAGAGGCACCCTGACTTGATAGTGGTGATTAGGCAGGTGACAGTGGCTTTCTGCTGTCTGAGGAATCCAGTATTAGAACTGATTGCTGTCTTCCAACCTTGTTTTCACAAGGACAGAAAACTAGGTGCCAGAAATGAGGGAGAAAAGGACACATGGGAAGATGAAGGTACTTAGGGTCTGTGTGTAGAGCATTTGGGGTATATTCAGGAAGTTGGTTAAAGAGCCAAATGATAAATGTTACCTCTTAAAGATAACACGGAACATTTTGCTTAAATGTACATTAGAGTGAAACATTGTCTGCCAAGAGAATTTGACTTAGCAGATTATCAAAAGAGGAAATCTGTTGTCAAACCAGACTGCTATTGTTGTCATAGACAGATGTATAGTACTTGTTAGGATTGTTTGGCTTTTTGAATGTTCTAAAACATTAAAAATTATGGAAGCTCCTTTTATTAATCTTGGTTATGAACTAATTTTGATATTTTTATGGTTAACTTACAGAAGTTATTTTTCCTACTTCTTTTTTTTTTTTTCCTGGTACCGGAGATCCAACTCGGGACCTTGCACTTGTGAGGCAGACAGCAGCACCACTGAGCTAAATCCCTGGCCCTCCTACTTTGAAGAAAATTATTAGTCATTGAACAACTTTTAGGATTTTATATGTAGGAACATGAATTGAGAAAGGTTTCATAATTAAAAGGTGCTCTATGGATGCTGTTAGCAAATCTTCATTTCTAGTTGGAATTACATTTGCTAGTAAGTATCAAAATGGCTGCATGTAGCTATAGCTACTCATATGTGGCAGAATAGTTGAGATGCCCAGGCCTCAGTCTTTGAGGATTTCTGATCCTTTGCAGAGGGGATAAACGATAAATTTCAGTTTTCTGCCATAGCACCTTGTAGGGGCTCATCTTGATCATCCAAGTCAGCCAGAAACTAGCTCTAGCTGTATAAATAAGAGTAAAATAGGAATGTACAATATTTTAGTAAGTGTTTGAGAGACTTCTTTTAGATATTGTATTAGTAAAGCAGTGCTCCGCAAGGTGAGGAAATGTTCTGTGAGACTGTGTTTTGTGCACTGCCATAGCCCCAGTGCCTAGAACTACCTGGCCCATATTGTGTCCTGAATAAATACACTTGTTTTATGAATAATGAAGGAGGGGAGGAGGACAATAAATGTAATAGTAGTACAAAGTCAGAGGAAGAAATCACTTACAACCATGAAAAATAGTGTATTTTTAATTAATACACAAGTACCCAGGAAACTTGGATGAAAGTGGAAATTGCTTCCTGCTTTGCTTTCCTGATAGTACTGCTTGCTAAGGGCTCTTCCCTTTCATCTTTGGATCTGTAGAACAAAGCATGTGGTAGCCCTTTGTGGAAAAGCTATAGTGTGCCAAGCACTGTTCTTCCTTGCAACAACCCAATGAGGTATTACCCCTGTTTTAGAAATAAAGGAAATAGAAGCTCAGAAAGGGCAACTACCTTATCAGAGCTACCCAGTAGAGGTGGGAATTCTAACTCAGGATGGTCTGACTCCAAAGATACATATGTATAATACTGAGACCAGATTGTCTAGGTCAGTGATTGTGAACCTTTTAGAGCTTTCAAACATCCAGCTGCAGCACATGTGCCATAGGTTTGCCACCACTGGCTAGGTGGTCAGTAAATGTATGTTGAATGTACACAAAAATAGAGAAGGGTACCTGTGAGGACAACCCTCTGAGGAGGTGACATTTAAGCTAGATCTTAAATTGTAAGATTTGGGTATATTGAGGCCAGCATGGACAACTTAGCAAGAACCTGTCTGAAAATAAAGAAATTTTAAAATAGCTGGGCTTAGCTCAGCTGTAGAGAATTTACCTAGCATACTTGAGGCCCTGGGTTTTATTCCAGTACAAAAAAAAAAAAATTTGGATAGGTGAAATGAGGAAGGGTAGATATGAGGGGTAAAATGTTCTTGTAAAAGAAATAACATGTTAAACAGAAGGACAGAGAGAGACAGAGGCTTGAAGGTTAGTAGAGGAAATGTTGTCAAGGTGATTTGGTCTAGATTGTAGAGGGCCTTAAATGCTAGTCTGAGATGTCTGGACTTAATTTTGGAGCAAAGTCATTCTGTCAAAGCCTTCTTAACAGGAAGGACTAGGAAATACTGACCTAGCATTTAGAAGTAAGTCAGGGCCAGTGATGTCTTGAGGATGCTTGTCTGAAGTTTACAGAATAGTGCTTTTCTCGACAAGGATAGACTGAACATCCCACCAGTAAGAGTATTTCCCAAGTAGCTAAACTCTAGGACTTGACCGTAGTGGCATACTTGGCTCCTCTCGATAGTCATGATAATGCCTAGAGAGAAAGGCAGTTGCAGGCTGCCAAGCAGATGACATGTTAATACGGCCTTGATGTCCCTTCACATTCAGTTGGCATCTAGGACTTAAGAAGCCCAGGTTCATAAGTTCTAAGGTATGAACACTCAATGATTAAATAAGTTTTTGGTTTTGTACCAGTTTCTGCCTTGGTCTTTTCTGATGTAGAAAAGATTTAAAACCCTCAATTCCTGGGTATCTTCATTGATCTCAACTCCACACCATTACCAGGCATGTATCGTCAGGGGAGCTTCCCTTTCCAGAATCATCAGTGGGATTAAAATACACTCTTTTGTTTAGTATGCCTCGGCCTGAAAGTTTAAAAAGCTGTTCATTTGCTTCTTTGTTAAAATATTTACCAATATTTACTAACATGATGACAGCTGTCACACAGGATTTATCAATTTGCTTTAACCACAATAGTTATTTTTTAAATATTATTTTGCTTTTCTTTACCTAATATAAATGAAATGCTATCCATTTTCCCAGAGTACGTTTTTTAATTCAACATTAGATTCTAGAGATCATTTATATTGTGGGTCATCTATAGTAGTCCATAGCATGAAGATACCATGATTTATTTTTCCATTCTGGTAACAGTGGACATTTTTTGGTTCTACAAAGAGTGCTGATATAAATATTCTGGTATACATGTTCTTGTACACATTTCTAAGACTTTCTCTAGAGGCAGTGCTTCTGAAACTACACCATGCACCAGTCTCCTGGAAGGCTGCTTAAACTGGGATTTCTGGGCCCCACCAACAGTTTTCTGATTCAGGTGTCGAATGAGTCGCAGTGATTTGTATTTTTTTTCCATTAAATTTATCGGTACATTTTAGGTATACAATACAGTTACATTCATTGGGAACTTGTACCCTTTACATGATGTATCTTGGTTCTTATTTTTTCCCCATTCCCCTGCTCTCCCTTCAACCCCTCTACCCTTCCCTATTTACAGAGACTTTGTTTCCATTTTTTCCTTTTCTCTTATTTTTTCCTTTCTCTTCTCAGTGATTTGTATTTCTTTCAAATTCCTGGATTCTGATGATCTGTTGATTTGAGAACCAACTATTTCAGAGTATAGATCTAGCTTGGAATTGTTAGAGTGGAATAGAGAGTACAAAATTTTTACTTTATTGGTAATGCTAGATTGTTTTCCTGCCAAAGAACTGCCAGACCTAGATTTTTCCTATTTCATAGGTGTTAATGATCTCTTTATTATATGGTTGGAAAGGGAAATCTATACTTTTTTTTCTCATGTTAAAACTTGTGAAGTATGGAACTTGCCTGCTTAAAGAATGTTATCTGGGACACAGATACACACACACACACACACACACGCACACGCACACACGATATTCCACATTAAAACCTATAGGCACTGATCAAATTCAGTGCCAGTTGCTTAAGAAGAATCTTACATAATTATAGTGATTTTTAAATATTATTTTATTCTTCCTTTGGTCTTTAAAAAAAGGTTCCAAAGAAAAATGCCACTTTCAAAGAGAGACTTGTTTTGATGGAAGATATTCCAATTAAGTCTTTCTCAAATAGAGCCAAAGGCTAATTAGGGAAAAGCTGGTTAGATTTCACAATAATCTTATTGTATTCATCAGGGAAACCACTTGAAAGCCAGGTCCAAGTTGATTTTTTTTGTTGATCAGGTTCACATTCTAGAGGAAAAGCTGCTGCAGAGGCTGACCCATCCCTCAGAAGCGCTGCTTTGCAGGTTACTATTGGTCCATGTGTCAAGGCCCTGTTTCTGTCACATGTGGTCAGACTCTCGATGCAACATGGAGGACCCCAAGGCCCCTCATATAGTGACAGGGTGTTCAGTGGGCTTTGGTGACTGTTACAGGACCAGGTACTAATGGTTGTCTGTCTTTCAGCTTTCATGACGCTGGTTATCATACTGCTGCACGTGTTCTGGGGCATTGTGTTTTTTGATGCCTGTGAGAAGAAGAAGTGGTACATCCTCCTCATTGTTCTCCTAACCCATCTGCTGGTGTCTGCCCAGGTGAGTGTTGCTGCTGTACTTACACTGAGATTTAGAACTCAAGTCTGTGTCTAAAATGGTATCTTCTACTCCAAATCGATCGCATGGAAAATCAGGAAAATGGGCTGGGGATTTATCTCAGCGGCGCCACATCTGTCTTGTAAGCACAAAGTCCTGAGTTCGATCCCCAGTACTGGAAAAAAATAATTTTAAAAAATCAGGAAAGTGAAAAAATTTGACTTAATTAGTTATTAAAGTTTTATCATAAGAAGACAACCACCGGGCTGGGGATTTAGCTCAGTGGTGCTGCCACCTGCCTTGCAAGCGTAAGGTCCCAAGTTCGATTCCCGGTACTAAAAAAAAAAGAAGACAACCACCAATTTTTGTGGGTCTCATTAAAGATTTTTTTTCCATGTGTATTTCCTTTAAGAGATATAGGTAAACTTGAAAAAATTGTGCTTATGTTAAGAAGCACATCTGGAGCAATTTCTATCTCATTATAAATCCCTTAAGATAAAAAATTTTTATATCTTTATGTCATCACATAGAAATTATTATAATGTTTTAATAACTGGTTATCACTTCTGGTTTTTGGGTTATTATGAAGCTGTCTTTAATAATTTAGCTCATTAGGGCCGGGGATTTAGCTCAGTGGTTCTGCTGCCTGCCTTGCAAGAGGAAGGTCTTGAGTTCGATCCCTGGTACCAAAAAAAAACCCCAACAACAAATAATGTAACTGGTTAATCACTTCTGTTTTTTTGGTTATTATGAAGCTGTCTTTAATAATTTATCACTTCTGTTTGTTTGGTTTTTTTTGGTTATTATGAAACTGTCTTGACCATCTGAATGCATGAAACTTTTCCCATACATTGTTTAGGTTCAAGGTTATGGAGTTATGAAGTCAAATGCCATGAATATTTTTTAAGTACTTGATCCAGATTGCTAAAGTACTTCTCATAAGGGTTGTACCAGTTTTACACATTTTGACCAACAACAAAAGTCCCAACATCACTTTCTTCTCATATAATAATGCCAGTTTTCAAAATAAAGTTTTAAAATACTTGATTTATTTTAAAAGTACTATGGGTTTGACTTTTATTGTAAATTATCATATATTTATACCTGCCACTGCCTTCTCTAGACCTTTTTCACTTGTTGGCTTATGTGTTATAAAGGTTCCTCCTGATGACCCTTGCCTCCTGCTTCTCTTTTCTCCACCTGTTTACCTATATCAGATTTTCTTAAATTGGGCTCCTTACCCCTCTGATCCATCTAAAATACCATTTTACTTCCCCTCATACACCTGAAACCTTTCAGCAGGATACTAAAGTCACCTTTAATATGACAGCAACTATGTAAAGCCAAATCTTTGTGACAGGAAAGAATGTACCTTAAAATATTAACAGTATTTATCTCTGGGAATTGGGATTGTGAATTCTTTTATTCTCTATAGTTTTTATCATTTTCCAAATTTTCTACAACATAGCACTTTTATAATTTGAAAGGAAGTTGCAAGATAAAACAGATCTTCTTATGGATCCAAGTGGCTTATTTGTTCACTTAATAAATATTATATTAAGTGTCTTCCACATTGCCAGCACTGTTCTAGGTAAACAAAACAAAGATACCTGCCTTTATAATGTAGTGGGGAGAGACAAGCAAGAAACAATTGACGTAATGAATTATATAGTATGTTAAAAGGTGATCAGCGCTATGGAAAAAAGGAAAAGTAGAATTTTTAAAGCTAAGGGATTGTGTGCATGTTCATGTGTGTTCACATTTCTTTTTTTTTGGTACTGGGGATCAAACTGAGGACCTTATGCTTGTGAGGCAGGTGTGGTGCCACTGAGCTAAATCCCCAGCCCCACATTTCTTAATTAGGTGGTAAGGGTACACTTTATTGTGAAGGTGACATGTGAGCAAAAAAAATAAAGTTAAGGGAAGGAGTTGGGGAGGTGGTACCTGGAGAGAGAACATCCTGGGCTGAACAGCCATGTGATTGGCATGTTTGTGGAAGCCAGGTGGCCAGAGCAGAGTGAGCAAGGAGGAGAGTAGCAGGAGACACTGTTAGAGAGTTGATGGTAGGAGGGAAATAGAAGGTTGGAGGTGAGATTTAGATAATGTAAGACTTGAGCCTTAACTCTCAGCGAAACGAGGAGTCTTTGGGTATTGAAGAGAGACATGATCTGACTCACAGAGGATCATTTTGCCATGTTGAGAGTAGACTAGAGGGGGGAGAGATCACCATGATCAAAGGAAGGGCAGTGATGACTTGGATGAGAGAGCAGTGCAAAAAGGAGAAATGATCAGATTCAGGATGTATTTTTGAAAGTGGAGCCAACAGAATTTCTTAATAAAGTAGATGAAGCATGTGAGAGGACGAAAAGGAGCCAAGATATCGCCAGGATTTGAGCCCCGACAGCTGAAAGGAGGGAGTTGCCATCAGCTGAGAGGGGAAGCTGTTTGGGGCCCATTGCTTTGCAGGTACCTGTTGGACATCCAAGTGCAGATGTCAGGAAAGCAGTTGGTTGAAAAGTATGGAGTTTGGGAGAGACGTTTAGGATAGAAAAGATGATTACAAGGAATTGGTAAAAACAGATAAGATGCTGGAGGTGCATGACACTCCAGCATTGAGACTGAGGAAAAGAGGAGCCAGCAAAGAAGACTGAGAAGGAGCAGCAGAGAGGTAGGAAGGCATCCTGGAGACCCCAGAGAGCTAGGTGTCCCAAAGCCAGCTGTACTGAGGAGAGCCATCCGGTGAAGCAGAAGCCCATGATTACATCCAGGCTTCTCTGCCAAGCCTCCTGTCAGTCTTGCTGGTACAAAACTTAGCTCCAGCTGTTCTCCAGAACTCAGATATATTCTGTCTAAACTGATGCAGTGTGCTCCACAACAGGCATGTCTTTGTCCCTGCTGATTATGGGCTGATTATGATGTGTCTTTCTCCTAACCCAGAGCAGTTTCAGAAACCATTCTTTGTGAAGATTTCTGGAAAAGTTGCATGTTCCAGGCTCAGCACTATCATGGGACCATATTCATTGTTCTATCATAACACTGTTCTTGGCTGGCATTATTTTATTTAGAGTTTTTCCATCTCTTTCATCAACTAGAATCTGATCGTCAAGGATGAAATCTTATTTTGTCAATCTTTGTATCCTTAATCCTTGGCACATAGTAGGAGACTAATAAACATTGACTGAATATCAAATGGTTGCTTTTATTCTGTTTATTGACTTAAACCAGGAAGTTTGAAAGATTATCTCTCAAATGTTTTTTTTTCCTAGTACCAGGAATTGATCTCAGAACCTTGTGCTTGCCAGGCAGGTGCAGCACCACTGAGCTACATCCCCAGCCCTGTTTTTCAGAATGTTAACAACAGTTATGTCAATGACAGATCTCAGAGAATGACTATTTGAGCCATTGTTTTATTTAAATTTATATACAAACCATATACAAATCAGAAGCATACATCTTGGTGAATTTTCACAGTAAACACACCTGTGTAACCGGCACCTAGGTGAAAACTGAAATGTCATGAACCTCCAGAAGCTTCTTTATGCCTTCCACTAAAGGTTCATATGATAATGACTTATAGCACTAGAACTAGGCTCTGCCTTTTGGTATTTTGTGTAAAAGGAACCATACAATCTTTGTTCTTCTATTTGGCTTCTTTGGCTCAGCATTATGTTTGGGAGAGTCATCATTATCTAACTATAGATTATTCATTCATTGCAGTACAGCATTCTGTGTTTATAGCATAACATTTATTCTATAACACAGAAGTATTTGTGATGTTTCCACTTTTCACCTATTGTGAAAAATATTGCTGTGGACATTTGAGTGTATATTTCTTGGTGAACATGTCTACATATTTCTGTTTGATATATGCCTAAGAGTAGACTCATTGGGCCCTGGGCTGTACAGGTGTTGGCTGCTTATAACTGTTACTTTTTTCAAAGTAGTTGTATCAACTTGAATTCTCACTCCTTATAAGCTGCCATTGTCCATCTCCTCGCCAACACTCGGTGTGACTTTCTTTTTCATCTTGCTGGAAATGTAGTCGTATTATGTTAAACTTTTCATTTGTATTTCCCTGCTGATTAACAAGGTTCAGCGTATCTTCATATATTTACTGGCCATTTGTAAAGTGCCTGTTCAGATCTTTTGATTATCTTTTGGGTTGTCTGTCTTTTTCTTTTTTAGTTTTAGGAGTTCTTTGTATTTTCTACAACAGAATCCTTTGTCAAGTGTATGTATGACAAAAACTTTTGTTTTTACTTTCTTTAAATGTTGCAGTATTTTGATGAACAAAAATTCTTCATCTTAATATAGTCTAGGGGCCGGGGATTTAGCTCAGTGGTTTTGCCGCCTGCCGCGCAAGTGCAAGGACCCAAATTCAATCCCCGGTCCCCCCCCTAAAAAAATATATATAGTCTAATTGATCTTTTTTGGGGGGTTACCGGCATTGAATTTAGGTCCTTGGGCTTGCGCGGCAGGTGGCGAAACCACTGACCTAAATCCCCGGCCCTCATTTTTTTCTTTATGGTTTTACTTTTTGTGTCGTTTAATAAATGTTAGCCTAGCTGAATTTCAGCTTTTAATTTTTTTTTTTTTGTACCAGGGATCAAACTCAGGACCTTGTGTTTACAAGGCAGGTGTGGTGCCACTGAGCTAAATCCCTGGCCCTAAAATTTTTTTAATTGGTGTATTCTGATGTTCTACAACAATCATGTATTATTTTTATAATCATTTAAAAGAGAAAAACATTTTAAGAAAATAAACTAAACAATGCAAGACAGTTTAGCATTCTGCAGTGTAAATTAAAATGTAGTAGACTTCAATATAAAATTATTCTGAAAAAGAATCCAGGAGGCTGGGCATGGTGGCACATGCCTATAATCCCAGTCTTGGAAGACTGAGGCAGAAGGATCACCCTGAGTTCAAGGTCAGCCTGAACTATATAGTGAGACCCTGTCTCAAAAAACCAGAAAAAAAAAAATCTAGCAACTGCTCGGTGCCTGCCATGCCCACAGATGCCTCTTGAAAAAAGCATTCTTTCTGCATAAAGTGCTACCTGCAGAATCAGCTTGTTTCCATGGCCAGAGCTGATAGGTCAGGATCAGTGCCTTAGCCAAGGGCGTATATATGTGGAGTGAAGTTGAGAACAGGGAGATGCCTTGGAGAAACTTTAAAACACTTGTTTTAAAGGAATAACAAACTGACCCAATCAGACCTTCCCCTTTGTTACGTGTAAATGGTAGGGCTAGATGGGAAGCCATGTACCCCTGCCCCCTGCTTCAGCAGAGGAAGTATTCCCCTTCTGTCAAGGGCCAGTCCCTCCTCACAGACTCTAGTGCTAGTCCTTCTCCCCTACTTGAAGACCTCCCTTGTGTGGTTGTGCCCCATGGCCTGCATCTCCAGCCTTCCATCCTCTTTGGGAGCACACAGGTGTATCTTAAATAAAACACTTTTGTACTGCCTTTCCCCCTTTCCTGCCGCTCTTTGTTTCTCATCCCAGCAAAACTTCCCAGACTAATCTCCGCAAAGTCTTTACTAACTGATCCCCTAGACTTCCAGCCCAGGATGGCTCCTGCTCAACCAACTTAAAACCTGACTTTTCAAGGTCCAAAGGACCTCCATTTTTCCCAACCTAATGGGCATCTTAGCAGCCTTTGAGAAGAGATGACTAAAAAAAAGAAGAGATGGGGCCGGGGCTCAGTGGTTTTGCTGCCTGCTGCGCAAGCACAAGGACCCGAGTTTGATCCCCAGTATCAAAAAAAAAAAAGATGACTACCTCTTCATTTCCCTTTTTTTGGTGCTGCCTAGGTTTTCTCCTACTTCACTGCTCCTTCTCAGACACTTTTGCTGGTTCTTATTCTTCCAAGTAATTTATAAATGTTGGAATGTCTCAGGGTTTGGTTTTGAATTCATCTTTCTATAATAGCTCCCTGGGTAATCACATTCCTGGGCATGGCTGTGGGCTCTGCCTGTAGGCTGTGCTGCTACACTCCTTTTTCTGGCCCAGGCCTCTCCTGTGAGTCCCATGCTGATATATCCACCTATTTATGTGACATCTGCCTTTTGAAATTCCACAGAATGGTACTTTCTTTTTTTTTTTTTTTTTTTTCAGAATGGTACTTTCAATATGTCCTGTCTCGACTGGATTTTCCACCTATTGTTCCAAGCTTTCTTTTCCCAGCTCTGTTAAGCTCAGTCTTCCTTAAGTCTTGATCATCTCATTAAATGTTACCACCATTTACCAAAAGCCAGAAATATTTGCATCAGTCTTGGATGTTTCCTGTCCTTCGCATGCAATTCATGAGCAAGTCCTGTCAGTTCAGGTTACCAGTTGAGTTCAAGTTACCACCACCACCATCCTGGTCTAAGTCACCATCCTGTACACTCCTCATCCAATGCAGTTTCTTCCTAACTAGTCTCCCTCTTTCACTATACCCTCCTTTAATCCATTCTCTGCAGTTCTAAAAATCTAAAGTCATTCAAGTCTCCAACCTAGAACCCTTTTGTGACTCTCCACTGCACTAAGGATAAAATCCATGCTCCTTAGTAACACCCACCATAGTTGGTCCTGCCTTCTTCTCTGGCCTCATCTCCTCTACTGCTCCCTCCATTCCTAAACATCGTGAATACTGGCTCTTTATCCAGCTCTTTGCCCCTACATCTGCTTCCTTCTGTTGGCCTACCCATAATTAACTCCTTCCTCCTCCTGTATATGTCAGTTTAAATGCCACTTTCATAGGGCTTTCCTTGGCCATCCTAAATAAATCACCTTATTTTTATGTATACTAGCATTGTCACAGTTATTATTCTGTCCTAGCATCCATTACAGTTTATAATCAATTTATTTTTTCATTCATTATCTATCTTCCCTTATAAGCATATAAGCTCTATTAGGGTAGAGACTTTAGTCTTCTCTAATGCATGACATGGTACCATTTGGCACCCTATTAATATTTTTGTTTTGGTGCTGGGAACCAAACCTAGAGCCTTGCACATGCTATGCATGGACTCTATCACTGAGCTACACCACTTAGCAGTGTATTTTTGAAATGAATATGCTTTTGGAATCCCTAACAATTGCACAGATAAAGAAGAAACTATTCCTTCACATTCCCTTGAACACTAGGGATTCTTAACACTAAATTAATCTGCACTTGTCTTACAGATTACAAAAGCCAGTTTAGTTAGCACAGACATGAATATAAACCAGAGCCAGTTTATACATAGGAAGACCTATTGAGCATTCCATTAGGTTCTAGTTAATGATTATCTTCTAGGTTTGTCATTTGAATCCAGCAAAGCATAGGACCTACAGACCAGTGTCTATTGACTAGGTTCTACGTGCCTTTGTGGGTCCTTACTACATGGCATGCATCATATGTATGGTTACAGCCCAGCTATGGAAAGTACTTCATATTTTTCTCTATCTTTGCTTATTCCACATGTTTACTAAGCTTGTGTTATTACCCAAGCTGATTTATTTTTCCTTTGCAGACCTTCCTAAATCCTCATTATGGAATAAATCTGGTGTCAGCGTATATAACCATGGTGGTCATGGGTATCTGGGCATTTTTTGTTGCTGGAGGGAGCTGCCGAAGCCTGAAACTATGTCTGCTCTGCCAAGACAAGGACTTTCTTCTTTACAACCAGCGCTCCAGATAACCTCCGACAATCAGCACCTCCTAAACAACAGGCTGCATCTGTAGAGGAAGCACAACTGTGCCTTTTTCTTAAAAAAAAAATCCCTTTTTTTCTGGTGGAATTTAGATAAAGCGAAACTAGATAGGAATTTCATTCACATGGATTTCAAGCAACAGGTCTCTGAAAGGAATGCATCATAGTGGTCGGCATCTTGGATGCACATGAGAGTCACCTGGGGTTCCATAGAGAATTCTGGTTCTGGGCTCCTCCAGATTTAGTTAGCCTGGACATTGAGTAATTTTTGAAAGCTTCGAGGTGATTCCGATATGGAGCCACTGAAATGCAAATGGGAACTCCCTGAGAAAACCCTAAGTGGATGAGAGTCTGATGTTTGGCTCCTAACTTAACTTGTGCTAAGCAGGTAAATGTCTGAATGTCACATCCTAGTTAGCCCTTGCCTTTATAGTCTGAGGTCACAGAAGCCTAAAGGGCTCTCACCTCTGTGGACTGTTTCCATGGACTTCACTAGGATCATCTCAGAGAAAAATGGTGGGCTGTGCTTGTCAATGCAATAATAAATTATGCTGACTTATTGTGATAATTTACCCAAAGTAAGATTTGATTTATAAGTTACATTTTCCTAAGTTCTTCCATCCTAGGTTTTGCTTTTTGAGGCATTACATTTTTTTTTAGTATAAATTCAGTTTAAGATTATTTTTTGATTTTCATGAGATAGTATAAAATCAACAATTGTGTGCAAAGTCTTGAGTCTTTCCTCAGCTTAAAGCTGCATCGCTTTCCATCTGAGCACTAGGTGCTGGGCTGGGTGAAGTGAAGCCCATTGTTTTATCTGTGAGCAGCTTGGTAGGGAGCTGAGTCATGTGCCCTGGGACAAGCTTCACTGAAAGCATGAGGAAAACATGCCAAAGGGTGATGTTCAGACACTTTTCATTTGCTCTTATGATGTTGAGTAGCACTTTCACCCAAATGGTATTGCATCATGCTATCACCTAACCCTTAAAATCTTTAGATCTACTGGTAGTAGGTATCTCTGGGTTTTGGTAGCAATCATACAACATTCCCTTTATAACAATACTCAAGGTGTTTGTTCACCTTCTAAACAATTATTTTTGTTCCTTTTATAAAGAAGAACTGCTAATGAATTGTGAGTTTATTAACTGGAAATTGTTCCCAAGTAATGTCTTTGGGGAGTTAGTAGTGTGAAATTGAAATTATGTGTACATTAAAGTGATACCCATATGTGTAGTAGAACAACCAAAAGAAATAGGGCCAGCAGTGAGTGCTCAGAAATGGCATGACAGATGGATGAGTTTGATAGGACTGTGATAGGGAGGAACGATGGGAATATTTGAAACAAAAGTGCAGCCAGTTTTGAGCTAACCATGTGTCATTCCAGAGACCAGAACCTTGCACATGAACTAGATTTTTATTAATAAAACCTCCTTATGTTTAAAATAGGGTATCTCAATCCCTATTCAAGAGGAATAGGTCTTTTAACAAGGCTGTACATAGTCTGATAAGTAGTTGTAGTAATTCCCCTAAAGGTTACTTCAGCACTAATACCAGTGCTTCTACTGGAGCTGGTAGCTTTCCAGCTTTATGCAGGATTTTCCTTGGACTGGAAGAGTGAAGGACATAAAGACCGAATAGAGAAACTTCCTGTGCAGAGTTAAAAGAGATGAGATGCCCATAGAACTGGGATTCAGTCTTAGCAGAACATGGTATTCTTTGGTGAATAGAGTAAGAAAAATACATACTTGGTTATTATATTGACTTACAAATCTCAAGTAGATACTCTGACAAAATACTTGCCAATCTGCATAGAAAATCTGAAAATTTTATTAATTATACTTGAACTCAGAGCAAGTTCCCTGTATACTAATAGCTTAATATTAAATAGCTGGCATATTGGAAGGCAGCTATGCTAACCACTATACCACCAATGCCTCTCCTAGCTGGCATATTGTATAATCTCATTTAATAAAACTCCAGGTAAGAAGAAAATTTTCCTTGGTGAGACTGTTATCTTAGTTCAGGAAATTATTTAATAATCCTTGTTATCTATAAAAAGGGAATGCTGTAACCCTGATTTCTCTTGGAATGTATTGCCATAGTTGACACAGCCGACTTTGCAAATAGCTTGCTTTGCCCTCCTACCAAGGAAGCCTAGAAGGAAGGTATGATTTTCTTCTGTTGCTATATGTATATTGAAGTGCTGTGTGTTTTGTTTTGTTTTATTGGGGGGTTTTTGCATTTGTTATCTATAGTGAGCTTTTTTTGAGCCTTAATAATTGGACAGGTTAAGTAGGAGGATAAGTATGTTCTCCTCCTCACAGGACTTTCTCAGTTTGGAAGGAAATGTGGACATAGTTAAAAGTTGACCTTAGAGTTGTGACTGTTGTTGCAGTGCTTGGATATGATGTCATGTGAATAATATTGATTGTGTTGCTCTCATATTAATATAAGCTGTGTTTATTTTTAATTCATTTGAATTAGTCATCATAACTGGAAATGTCTTGTTACCTCAGTCCTGGCCTGACAGTATAGTAGCAGCAGCCACTTTTAGAGCATATTGATAAAAACATGGCTGAAAGGAAATAATGATGATATCTGTAGACTATGTAGAAAATGGCATTTGTTCCCAGTGTTTTTTTTCTTTTCAAGTACATTTCAGTGTTTGCTGAGCATGGCAGATTCTACACCAGAAATGCTAGGTGATCTTATCCATACAGTGGATGCAACATAAGTAGTTGTGGCAGAAGATTCTGCACCTGATACTGTTCCCAGTCACTTCAGCAGTCAGTATGGGCCCCAGAATGACACTGGAGCCTTGTTGACCAGCCACCCAGGGTGGCAGGGAGCCTGTGGGGGCATCAGCAGCCAGCTTCCTGTGAAGAGCTCTTTGAGGGCTGGCTTTTTGTTAGCTAAGTTTCTTCTAGGCCCCACCATTCTGAACTGCAGGTGGACAAGGTAGATGTCACACCAGACTTTTTAAAAATGCTTTGGTTACAGCATTTTATTTATAGCTCTGATATTTATATTTCTCATTTAATAAGGGGCTTTATCCTAGTAAAGTATAGTGTTTAAAAGAGATGTCTCTATGTAAAAATGCAAAATTTTACATGTTATGCTATTATGTCCTATATACTTACCGTATCAGATATCACATTCAACACAAAACTCACTGGACTCCTTCCAGACCTGTATTTTTCAGTGAACAATAAAAAGATCGTTTGAAACTATTCATTTCCCATGTGTATCCTTGAGTACCTGTTGCTGCAATTTTTCTCTTTTAAAACTTGCTTGTACATTCTGTTGTTTCTGACTCATCAGTTCAGAAGCATTTTTTTATGCAACTTTATTTTTTAAAATCTTGTTAATGTACAAGCATTGGCACATTTTAAAAACAAACTACATAAACAGATCTTTCCTGTACTCTAGGAAAGTGGAATGTCAGAAGTCAACAAAATGATAAACTAAAAGTGCTAAAACAGAAGGCACTTCACAAAATCTGTTCACTGAAACAGTTACATATCTTCATTTACATCCTTCACTTTTTAAGTGGCAGTGAATGTCTCCTTGGACTGACACATGCAGAAATAATTTCATGATGGTGAAAATACAAGGCAAATAAGTGATTAGCCCTTGGCCAACTTTTTTGTTTTTGATGACCTGAGGTCTCCTTTAACCTTCCTTTCATAAAAGGAAACGGAAGGATTCAGAATTGGAAGTTGAAATCCCAGAATGTAATCACTTGGGGATTGAGAAGGCTGCTAGATATTAAACCCCCTTTCCCCAGAAACAGAGCCCTTTGTTTTTGCGGTTGAAATTTTGTGAAATAAAAAAAGAAAATTAGAGAAGAACACTTCAGAATCAGTGAACTAAAAAGGTGTTACATTCATTATTTTTAAATACTTAGGTTATTAAGAAATCTAAAATGTTACACAGAGGTAGATAACGGTCCCAATTTCCATGGAATCTAATAATTTAGTATCTGGACATCAAACAGATCACAAACTCCTTCATTATCATCTAAATTAAAGTTGTAGTCATCTGCAGGGGTAGGAGAAAGCCGTAAGAGCGGAAACACATCAGAAGACATTAACTCACTGATAATATCTCCACTAATAGATCCTGCAGAAGCTATTTCTGTAGCTGGTATCTGCTGAAGACTCTGGCTTCTTTCGGACACATGTTGCTCAGGCGAGTTCTCAGCCAGCATGCTGGATTTCTGTGGAGTCACTGGAGTGGAGGACTGAGAAGAAGGCTGTGTGAGGTCATCAGGTGGGGGGACGGGAAAAACCACAGGCTTGGACGAACCTGACTCTTTATTGATAAGCAGCACGTGGATAGGTCCTGAATGACTTTTTAAATTGATCTGGTATTTCTTTTGTCCATTCTGACCCATTTCTGGAATAGGTACCTCCAGCTGTGTACCAGAAGGTGCCTGAATAGCCAAAAGTGTATCACCATTAAAGCAATTCCAGACATCTTCATGAGTTACATAGGAAAATCTATTATTAATGGAGTCACCCATCACATTTTTGATGCTTTGCTTTAGCCACAATTTCTGCTGATCAAGTTCTCTTTCTTTCAGTTTTAGATCTTCAATTTCAGTTTTAAGAAATCTTAATCTATCTATAACTTCTTTAGTATTACAGCCAGCGCCTACACCTTTCCATTGGATACTATTTTTTGACTTTTTTTCAATCAAATCAATTCCTTCCAAAACGTTGGTGATAATCATAAATTATTCTTTTTTGCCTCACAGCCAGCGTAACTCCAGCCGCTTTGAGATCCAGGACGCCTTCTTTGGCCTCCTGCAGCAGCGACACGAACTTGGTGGTGAGCAGCCCCAGGCTCTTCTCCTGCCTGCTGCTGCCGCCCCCGAAGCCCCCCGAGCTGCGGCGGCGGGGGGCGGCGGGGGCGGGGTCTGTCCCTGCGGGCACTGCGCCTGCGGCCGCTGGGCCCTGGCCATGCGGCGACGACTGGCCTGAGCGTCCCAGCGCGCGTTGGTCCGGCCCGCGTTTCCCCGCTCACCGCCCCCCATTTCCCGCGTTTCCCGCGTTACCCGCTCACCGCCGCTCTCGCCATCGGCCGCTCTCGCCATCGGCCACCTGCCGAGTCGCAGCGCCCGCGGGGAGCCACACGGAGCTGCCGGGTCCTGCACACAACAGGTGCGCCACGCCCAGGACTCCCAGAAGCATTTTTCAAAGAGAAATTATTTCCTCATTTAAAATTCATAAAGCCTATTTCAAGTCTATGTGTTCAGAAACAGTTTGGTGCGAAAAAGTTCTTTGAGATTTCTAAACCAAGCCCAGAAAATTCCCCAAGAGATTCTAAAACCTCACTTTGAAAAACCTCCTGACTAATGGTAATTTATAAAACATCACAATAGTGGCTGGAGATACTCAGTTTAACTTCCCACCTGTAGAGTCCTTGTTTTTTTCCTCCTCTTGATGAGGAGACCATGCAGCTAAGGTCAAGTTTGGCCTTGGCCATGAGACAGGATATGTGCGTACTTGTGATGACCTGTCACTCAAGCTCATGTGATGGCAGTTTACTTCGGTTTGAAATGAGGCCATGCTAGGTTTCTGTTGCTATGTTACTGGTTGATAGTCCAAGGACCAAAGGTTCTGTCTAATTTGGAAGCCCAAGAAGAGGCACACATTCCTCAGGTGTTGGCCAAGATTTATGTAGTTTCATTGTTCCTTCCACACTGAAACTGTAGCTGTCGTTTAATTGCTATTCACTTGACTTTTAGTTGGACTGGAGATTTCCCTGTGATCAGTCTCAGCATGTAAGAAACCTCCACTGGAACAGATTAGAAGATGCAGAAACAACTCCAGACACACTCAGCCACCTCATCTTTGACAAAGGAGCCAGACACCCTCGCTGGAGGAAAAATAGCCTCTTTAATAAAATGTGCTGGAGAAAATTGGGTTTCAGCTTGCCAAAGACTAAAACTAGGCCTATATCTCTCACCATGCATTCAACTAAAATTGAAATGGATTAAAGATCTAAACATTAAAATAGAGACACTAAACCAGCTGGAAGAGAGTTTAGGAAGAACTCTTGAAGACATTGGGGTAGGAAAAGACTTTACGAACAAAACCTCAGTTGCCCGTGAACTACCACAATCAACAAGTGGGATCTCTTCTTATTAAAAGGCCTCTGCACAGCAAGAGAAACCACCAGCAGTGTGAAGAGGCAACCCACAATGTGGGAAAAAATTTTCACCAGCTCTTCCTCAGACAAAGGTCTACTATCTCAAATCTATAAAGAACTTGAAAAGATCAGACCTCCCAAATTTAAAGACCCAATCTGAAAATGGGCATCTGAAATGAACAGACATTTCTCAGACAAAGAAGTAGAAATAGCAAATAAATACATGAAAAAATGTTCAACATCACTGGTCATTCAAGAGATGCAAATGAAAACAATGCTGAGATTCCACCTCACTCCACAAAGAATGGCTGCTATCAAGAAATTAACCAATAACAAGTGCTGGAAGGGGTACGGGGAGGAAAGAACTCTTCTCCACTGCTGGTGGGAGTGTAGACTGGTGCAACCACTGTGGAAGTCAGTATGGAGATACCTCAAAGAACTAGGACTGGAAGTCCCATTTGACCCAGCTATTCCCTGCTGGGTATCTTCCCCAAAGAATTAAAAGAATCATACCACAGTGATATATGTGCGCCCATGTTCATAGCAGCACAGTTTGTAATAGCTAAAACTTGGAAACAGCCCAAATGCCCATCAACTGGAGGCTGGATCAAGAAAATGTGGGTTTTTTTATAAAATGGAGTACTACTCAGCCATCAAAAATGAGAAATTAGAGACATTTATTGTGAAATGGATGCACATTGAGGCGATACTCTTAAGTGAAATAAATAGGACACACATGTAAATACCGAATAGTTTCTCTAGTGTGAGAAACTGAAAGTGTAAATAAGGACTAAAAGATATAATAGATAACGTGAAATAGGAAGAAAAGTGGCAAAGGGGAAGGGGAAGTGGGAGAGGGAGAGGAAAGGAAAGAAGGGAATGGAATATGAGAAAATGAAAAAAGGAAACAAAATCTTTGTAAATAGGGAGGACTGGAGGGGTTGAAGGGAAGGCAGGGGAAGGGGGGAAAAAGAACCAAGAGAGATTATGTAAAGGTGCAAATTTCCCATGATGAATGTCGTTATATTGTATACCTAAAATGTACCAATGAAAGGATATACAAAAAAAAAGAAACCTCCACTGGGAAGAAGTACATATTTCACTTCACCGAAAATGAAGAACTGAAAAAAAAAAAAGGAAAAAAGAAAATGAAGAACTAAGAGCCACTCAGTTGGTTATGGTCCCAGGCTAAGTAGAAGAATTGGGGATTTGACATGTTCTAAAGATGACCATAATAAGTATGATCCCCAAGCCGGTTCTGGGGCTATAAGGCTCAATAATTTGTAGGTGGTACCTGTTGCTTAAGGGTGCACCAATATAAATCCTGCTTTTACCTGGTAGTAAAACTACACATTTTCTAGTGCTTGTGCAAAACCAAAGATGAAGTTTATAGTGCTTACATTGGTCTTACCCTGCACAGAACATTGAGTAGACACTTTAAAAGATGGAAAAGAACAAGGTGGTGGGGATCTTTGTCCTTGGGGAACATAAATAATTAACATAATTAACTGCACAGATTAAAATAAATAAGTATTATAAAGAACTTTGAAAAATCAACCACCCAAGTTTAAAGACCCAATTCAAAAATGGGCATCTTAAATGAACAGACATTTATTTCTCAGACAAGTACAAATGATAAACATATGAAGAAATGTTCGACATCACTGGTCATTTGAGAGATGCAGATGAAAACAACACTGAGATTCCACCTCACCCTTGGCTGCTATCAAGAAATCAACCAATAACAAATGTTGGCGGGGGTGTGGAGAGAATGGAACCCTTCTCCATTGCTGGTGGGAGTGCAGACTGGTGCAGCCACTGTGGAAATCAACATGGAGATACCTCAAAAAACTAGGATTAGAGGTCCATTTGACCCTGCTATTCCCCTGCCGGCTATCTTCCCAAAAGAATTAAAAGAATCATACCACAGCGATATATGTGCATCCATGTTCATAGAGGTACAGTTTGTAATAGCTAAGGCTTGGAAACAGCCCAATTGCCCATCAACTGGAGACTGGATAAAGAAGATGTGGGGTTTTTCTTAATATAAAATGGAGTACTACTCAGCCATAAA